TTGTAATTGTGGTCCCTGAGAATTCAAAGTCGTTTTTTGAGAATTATAATTCTTTTTTAAGAAAATGTATAGTTCTAGTACAGCAGCCTTCCCACCAGTGTCCCATATAAAGTTTGTGATTAGATAACATGTCAAATAATTTTAAATATTTCCCATAGCTCCTTAGCCCTGTTTTCCAACATTTGTGTAAATATGCCTGCAGATGCTACCTGCAAGTTGTGGGCAGACTCCCTTAGGCTTCCATCTTTAGTCAACTGCAACCTCCTCTCTTCTGAAATTTACAGTATGCATTGGCATTTTGAAGGTTTGAGAAATTCTTAAAGAAATCCATTTAACTTATAGTGGTACTTTTTAAGGTATTTGTCCTGAAACTTTTTCAAAATTGTAATTTACATTTGATAAAATGTTGAGTTTTGTGAGTTTTATAATTGTATACTCATATAATTTCATCTTTTGACTGAGGTTTGCTATTCTGTCTTGTAATTGATTGAGTGCGGAATGTTTGTAAAAAAAAAATAGTACAGATTGAAGTAAGCATTATTTGCTTCCAAGAAATGGGCCATCATTCTATATAATAAAAGCCTAATATGCAAATTGTCCCCTTAGGCGGTTCCATCGGGAGTCCAGGAGTTCGACCACTCACTATGATGTGTGTTGACCACCAGGGGGAGGTATGGAACGTGACAGGTGTTGGTGACACACTGCGACCTCTCACTGGGGGCGGGGTGACAGGACAGAAGTGTGGTGAGAATGTGGGTGTCCACCAAGCTTTCTCACACTCCTCTTGGTACCCTCCCTATGGGATGCCAGGGCTTGTACACTAGGGAAGCCCCCGCCCTCAGGTGCCGGGCGGCTGAAGGAGCCCACCCCTCACCGTGCGGCATCTTCCAGATGAGCCAGGCCAACAGCTGCCAGGATTGCAGGGGCCGGTCAGGCTCCCCGTGGGTTGGTGCAGGAGCTGGCCTGCGAGGCTGGCCAGGAGAGTGTGCACTGCCTGCCCAGCTTCCATGCAGTGCTGCTGGGTGGCCCACTCTGTGCTCTGACCCACAGCAACTGGTCGTGCTCACCACATCTTCACATGGGGACTTGGGCGCTCTGGCTCAGGTGGAGGAGAAAGTGGGGGTGCAGGGGCGCAGGAGCCCAGCTGCTGCCAAGGGCCCAGAGGTCAGCTGGGACCTGCCCTTCCACACCAGATGCTTGCATTTCAATCACCGGCCAAGCCTAGGGATTGCACCAGTGCACGAATTTCATGCACTGGGCCTCTAGTTTCTTAAGATAGTCTGATAGTGGGGCTAAGTCAATAGGATGAATAGTGGAGTTAATTCTGGGCTTTGTTGCAATTTCACTTTGATTTCTTTTAAGTGCTTTGAGAGCAGGATTAGGACTTTTCACTTTCTGCAAGATTTGTTGTATGATTGTAATTTCAGTTATTTCTTTGTGCATTATATCTGAGCCATCAGCTGTGGGACCTTTGGGCATTTTCTCTGCTTTATAGCCTGTCTGTTCTTTGGTCATTCTGGAGTACTTTGTGCTCATCAGCCCTGCCCCAGGCTTTTTTGTGTCTGTTGTGAGAACTTCTCTACCAGTAATGCCTTCCAGGGTTTTCTCTCAGCAAACCTACCTGTCTGGTAATAATGTGCAGAGTTTCTGGGTGGAAATGGTTCTCTCAACTCTCCTGCTAACCTCAACCCTTGGCAGCTTAATGTTTGGAGAGTTTTGGAATAATTTTTTTTTCCACTTTTGCCCATCCCACCTTTCTCCCCCCATCAGAGGACAGATTTATTGCATTTGAGGAAGACTGTAAGTTTCTTAGGCTATCTCTCAGCTTTCCAGCTCTGTCCCCCAATCTTGGTCATTTTTTCAAGCACTTTGGTGAAGACCTGTGGGAATGAGTGATTTGCTTTGTGGAATTCTGATATGTCTTGTCAGCCTGTATGTTAAGATTTATTAAAGGTAGGCTGGTTTCTCTTATGGTGGAATTATTCCTCCTTAGCCCCTCCATCAGGAAAGACACCATCTGTGAGCCTCTCTTCTATCAGTTAATTCCACTTAGGTTACTTTGCATCCTTATCTCTCTGATGGGTTAAAAAAAAACTATGATTTTGTAGCTTACATGACCTGTTTTGATTATTAGGATGAAAGTGGTGGTCTATTGTGATTTTCTATAAACTGATTAGGAATAGAACTCCTCTCATGGATATTTTTGTTTTGTTTTGCTTTGTTTTATTTTGTTAATCCTCACCTGAGGATATTTTTCCATTGATTTATTAGGGAGAGGGAAAGACAGAGCGAAACATCAATGTGAGAGAAAGCACATCAATTGGTTGCCTCTGACCAGGGCCAGGGCCCAAGGAGCCTGTAACCAAGGTACGAGCCTTGACTCGGATCAAACCCGGGACCCTTTTGTCTGCAGGCTGACGTTCTATCCACTGAGCTAAACCAGCTAGGGCATCATGGAATATTTTTTTAATGTGTAGTTTGGTAAGTATCTGATAAAATTTGTTATTTCAGTCTAGTTGATTTTCTATAATAGTTCTCAGAACTAGGTTTCTGAATATTTTCATCTCAAATCTTAACTTTTCAGTTCTGTCCTCAAGCGGTCAATGATCTTATCTCTTATTTTGAGATTAAAGTCATCAGCATTAAAATTTAATTGAGTGTCTTGTGAAGAGTATGGGAAGAATTTGTAGGTACATAGAAAACCAAGCAATAAAAACCAAAGGAAATGAACTCAAAGGGAAAAAGAGTTGTACACAAAGGGAAAAACGAGTAAGTAATAGTTTACTGCTAATTTCATCAGTACTACAGTTGGGAGTTAATTATCTTAAAGGTTGGAGGAATGTGGGTGTTGTGGTATAAATCCTCATTTTCCACTGAAAAATGAACAGATAATACCTAAATTTGGTATTCCAAAGTATACCATTATATAAATATTACAGTAATGAATACTGTTCCCACCCCCTGGTTACTTAACAGCTATCTCAGTTATTAGATCAGTTATCAGAAAGAGAGAAGAGATAGACAGTAATCACCCCTAATCCATTGGGAACACATTCAAAGATCCCCCCCACCCCCACCCACCCCCAGTGGATGCCTGATATGACAGGTAGTACTGATATCTCTCTCACTTTCTCTCTCTCCCCCTTTCTCCCCCCCCATCCTATATAATAAAGAGCTAATATGCTAATTAGACTAAACAGCAGAATGACCTTCCAGACAAAGCTGAGCCCCTTGGCACAAATTTTGTGCATCGGGCCTCTAGAGTGTGTGTGTACTATTTCTCCCTATAAATACATATTTATGGTAAAGTTTATAAGTTAGACATAGTAAGAGATTAACACTAATAAGTAATTAAATAGAACAATTATAACTATGTTATAATAAAAGTTACGTGAATGCAGTTTGTCTTTCTCTTTCTCTCTTTCTGATAATTGATCTAATAACCAAGATGGCTGTTAAGTGACCAGGGGCTGGGGACAGTATTCATCATGGATATTCTTGAGATAGGGCTGATTTACATCCTGGGTGGGATAGAGTAGGATAGTGCTAGATTTCCTCATGCTACTGAGAATGGCATGCAACCTAAAACTTATGAATTGTTTATTTCTGGAATCATGCATCTAATAATTTTGGATTGCTGTTGACTGGGTAACTGAAATCCTTCAAAGTGAAACTGCAGATGGGGCCTGAGGGGTTAGGAAGGGGTGGTTAGGGATACTACTGTACTGAGTTATAAATAGCAAGATTAAATAAAAGTTTTAAGATTTTAAAAAATTATATCTTGGTGTGAGAAGAATAGCTATGTTTGATTATACTCACTATGCACATTACTTAAAAATGAAAATATATTTTTTAAAAGAAGCTTAATTAAAAATCTTCTCAAGGGATGTAAAAGTGAACCAAAGAGGGAGAGATAGAAACATCAATGATCAGAGAGAATCATTGGTCAGCTGCCTCCTGCACAACCTCTACTGGAGATCAAGCCTGCAACCCAGGGCATGTGCCCTGACTGGGAATGAAACCATGACCTCCTGCTTCATAGGTTGATGCTCAACCACTGGACCACACAAGCCAGGTCCCAAACCTTTTCTTAACACACTGTGTCTTCCTTTATTTCTTTACTAGAGTCCCGGTGCATGACATTTGTGCACTGGGGATGGGGGGGGTCCCTCAGCCTGGCCTGCACCCTCACACAGTCCAGGATCCCTTGGCAGGGAGTGGGCCTAAGCCAGCAGGCCAACATCCCTTGAGGGATCCTTAGTGCTGCTGCAGAGGCAGGAGAGGCTCCCACCACTGCAACTATGCTCACTAGCTGTGAGTCCAGCTTCTGGCTGAGCGGGCATGCCCCCTGTGGGAGCACACTGACCACAAGGGGGCAGCTCCTGCTTTGAGCGTCTGCCTCCTGGTGGTCAGTGCTCATCATAGCAACTGGTCGTTCTGCCTTTTGGACAATTTGCATGTTATTATATAGGATTCTTGTTACATATTTTACACTTTCCCCTTCTTATAACTTTAGAGTTTGTTTCATGATATCAAATCAGTTATGAAAGTTCAGAACTTTGGGGAGAGTGAGCTTGTAAAATTTTAAATATTTTTTGTGAAATATTTTGAGAATTAGATTGAAGTTCTAAAAAGTGAGAAAAAGTGTTTCTTTTGGTGAAATTATTTTAATTATTGACACTATTAAAAGTTAATATAGTATTAATAGTGATTAACTGGTCTAGTATTGATAAATATATTACTTGTAAAATTATATATACCCACTTATAACATTATGTTTTTCTTGAAAAGGGTTTATTTCCATAATTTTTTAAAGTTAATTAAGATATTTTAATGGGTGAAGAAGAGAATTTCTAAAAAATCTGTTGTGAAAGTAGTAATTTGAATTTCTATTTCATTTTGTAATTTGATATCATGTTGAACTAATTACTTCCATATCTTTTCTAGGTTAGATAAAAGAGGATATTTCCTTCGTGTGGATTGCTGCCTTTAGTAAGAACATGTCGTCCATCTTGCCATTCACTCCACCAGTTGTGAAAAGACTGCTGGGATGGAAGAAATCAGCTGGTGGATCCGGAGGAGCAGGTGGAGGAGAGCAGAATGGACAGGAAGAAAAGTGGTGTGAGAAAGCAGTTAAAAGTTTGGTGAAGAAGCTAAAGAAAACAGGACGATTAGATGAGCTTGAGAAAGCTATCACCACTCAAAATTGTAATACTAAATGTGTCACCATACCAAGGTAAGTGTTGTCAGATAGAAATTTGATGGTCGTCATTCTGTTGAAAATTGCTTGAAGGAATCTGAAGGAGAATTATTAAAATTTTGTTACTCTCCAGTCACCTCTAAATAGTAATTATTAAAATAGGACAACTATTTTTAGCTTGTTGTATTAATTTTGATGTACTCTTTAGACTTATTTTACAAGTAATCTTCTTGAGCAGTGAAGTTTAATCAAGCAAAATAAAATTCTTCCAATATGTTAAGTTTTATCTTCACTGTCTTCTTTTGACTTTGTTGCCTAAATGCTTCCATGGGTTTTATCTAATTTCTGTGATTGAATGACATTTGGGTAAAGATTCAGTGCTTTTCTATCTCTAGTGCAATATTGCTAGACAGATTTCTCCCCTCTTGGTTAAAACTTCACTCAGTGAGGAGTTGAAAGAGGCTACTACTATTGTGTTGAATTGTATGTATTATTTTGTTTGAGTTGTAGTGTTTCTTCTAAGAAAGTACAATATGTAAGGCAGCTTCTTAGATGCTAGGCATGTCTTAAAGACCTACCTCTTGAATTTTACTTAAGAGGTCAAGTTTTAATGTAAATTTAATAATTTATAGTTCCACTGTGAGAAATACTGTTTGTTTTTTAAATAACGTAGTAGATGTTTTTTAAGTGATTCATTCCTTTTTATGTACGTTACAGGGCTTTTTGGGAGTGTCTGCATAAAAGGATTGTTTGCTGTGTCATGCACATGGGCTGGTATATGGGTATAGCACATGAAACCATTCCACTTGACATGTTTTCAATGAGCTTTTGGAAATACACTCTGGGTGCTTGTTGATAATAGATCCAGTAGCACTCCACCTATCTACTTGCAAATACTAATAGTAGACTGTTTCCTTCTTGTTTGGTAGATTATTTATTCATTTATTTTACCTTGTTTCATATATATCTTAAATAAGAGTCATTTTTCTTGTTTTATTCTTTTGTTTTACAAACGCTTATGAGTACCTGATGTGTGCAAGGTACTGTTTCTAGGCACACGGGGATACAGTGATGAACAAAGCACCAAGTTCCTGCCCTCATGAAGGATTGATGTATAAAACTAACAAGTAGAAAATATAATTTGGTAATGATTGCAAAAAAGACAATGATTGAGGGATAAAAAAAGCCACTTTGGATTGGATTGTGATTTTTTAACCTAAACTTTGAGAAGTACCAAGCTAGCTGAGAATTGAGTCTTCTAGGCAGAAGAAAGAGCTGGTGTAAAGACTCTGAGATAAAAAATTATTGTAATGGAGCTCTGTAGAGCTGGAGTAATACAGAATGAGTACAAAACTTGGAAGGTGTCATATCATATAGGGCATTGTAGGCACTGTGATAGTTTGAATTTTAGTATGAACTTAGTAGAAAGCATATAAGGATTTTAATGGATTTCTAAAATTTAAATCCAGCTTTTAGAGAATTTCTTACATTCACTTTTATAGACTGCTGGGGTCATGGTGGTGATGGGGATTGTGGTGTGAGTGTGGGTATGTTTTAAAATGAATGATGGGTCTGGAAGCAGAGAAATCAGGAGGCTATTATGGTAATCTAAATGAGATTCGACAGGCTGGACTGGCAGTGGCTGAGCATATGTGAAGTGAATGAATTTGGCATGTGTTTTGGAATTACAACTGATAGGACTTGCCAATTAATTGGCTAAGAATAAGTCAAGCTATGACTGTTTTCATTGTGTAGCACCCAGCATTTCAATTCAGTAAACATTTTTCAATTAGCCACTACATATATGATAGGCTCTTGGAGTTAAAATACAATTTCTACATTTGAGCCACTTTCTGTTAAGGGAGACAAACTTTAAAAATATAAAAAAAAAGATAAATTTTGTAAGGTGCAGTAGGTGTTATGAAAGATGTTTGCTCAGGGAGCTATGTCCAAAGGAGGAGAATTTTGCCTACTTTGTGTCTTGTGGAAAGTTTCCTTCTGGAGGAAGATTGGTACCTGGATTGAATTTTGATGGATATAAGGGAGGAATTTAGTTAGAAGAATCCCAATTCATCCAGAGTAGCACTGTGGTATTGAGAGTGTGGTGGTAGGGAAGGGCTGGTGAAGGGTTCTAAGTTACCTTGTTTCCTGGGAGTGTGAAGTGGGAGTGGGACATGACAGGAGTGAGTTTATGTATGTGTTTACAAGAAACTACACTGGCCTGAGGAGTTTACGCTGCACCTGAATATGATTGGGGGTGGATTCGTTGAAGAGTCTTAGGTAAAGAAGACTCATAAATCAAATTAATTTTAAGTATAGCATCTGGCTGCAGTGAGGAAAATGGTTGTGAGACTGTCAAGAAGGGAGGCAGTTAGAGTATGTTGTCTCCCTCATCAAAGTGATGTAATCCAGAGGTATGCAGTCATATTTTTGCCCAGCTTCATCTAAGGCTCAAATTGCCGTTGCTGTGAGATAATTGACAGAGCAGAACCTAAGAGTAAGGCTATGCAATCCTGTCCTTTAAGAAAGCATAGTAGGTAGCAACCTACTGATTAAAATTCACAGACATGGGTATTTAAACTGGAGGTTAACTGAGTCAGATCTCTCTTCCTTACTTTTTATTCTCCTTTTTGTAGTCTTTTAGAGACTTCATATTCTAGGGTTACTTCATCATTAAAAGGTCTTTTTCTACCCTTTAACTCTATGAAAGCAAAGTGGTGGTTGTCCTTTACATTATCTTGTGTTTTACCATCAAAAGTTCCTTGAAGCTTAGAAACTTGCTTGTCTAACTTTGTGTTACTTTTATATTGTAGAAATGTAGATTTGTTAATATTGCTTGTGTCTTTCAAAAAATTTAAGCTTCTTACACTATGGTTTGATGTCATATATTTTATAAAGTTTGCTTTGTTTTCAAATAGTATGTTATATTATGTTAGATGATTAGTGATTTCTTAATTATTAAATGTCTTTAAAGATAATTGTAGACTAAAAAGGGTAGGAAATGGTGTGAAAAAAGGTATTTATGGATAAATCCAAACCATAGTTTAAAAAAAATTATTTAAAATGTGATGGCAAATGGATTTAATGTAAGTTTATTTACTTAAAATTGCAAGTAAGTTGTTAATAAAATATCTCCAGATAACATCTCAAAACTTATCAAAAAAGAGTTATCTATCTCTAAACATTATTCCTAAAAGGAGCAATCTCTCTTAATTCCAAATGTCAGTATCAAGGATAATAAAATAATAGTCATTACATACTCCTATACAAATTTAAAATTTAAGCCATCATTTTTACAGAAGTATACCTTGAAAAATGTAGGCTCTTCAGCCAGCCACATATAAATCCTGGGTCTTATCTCAATAGTTCTGTGACTGTTTATTTTATTTCTTTATTTGAATATAACAGTCATGTTAATTCACTGTAGGGTTGATGTGAATATGAATCACATAATACATGTAAAGCACTTTGAATGGTTCCAGGTACATAACAAATGCTTAAAATAAGTGTTGGAAAGTTTGAGGTAAGTTTCCTATAGCCAATGAAAATTTAATTGTTTACTTGTATCTTTTGCTAATTTGTTAAGGACAGGGTTGTATCCAAAGCTTCTTTCTTAGTGATGGAAGGTAAAAAAACAAACAAACAAACAAACAAAAAAAAAACTTATCTGAATGTAGGCATATTTTTTTTTTTTTTAATATATTTTATTGATTTTTTTACAGAGAGGAAGAGAGAGGGATAGAGAGTTAGAAACATCGATGAGAGAGAATCATCGATCAGCTGCCTCTTCCACACCCCCTACTGGGGATGTGCCCGCAACCAAGGTACATGCCCTTGACCGGAATCGAACCCGGGACCTTTCAGTCCGCAGAGCGATGCTCTTATCCATTGAGCCAAACCAGTTTCGTGAATGTAGGCATATTCTTGTTTTCCATTCCCCATCCTTCAAGTTGTACAATGATGAGGAAGTACACAAACATAGATATAGGATATGTAATTATAGAGACTTCTTTTTATTATCGTGATCAGCTCTTGATTTCTGAATTATTCAGTCATATCTAAAATGAAAGTAGTTTTGTTGTAAATAGAAATAATTATGGATGATTCATTACAAATTACTTTGTAGATGTCCATATTTCACGAATACATCAGTAATGAATAGCTGATTTAAAGGCTCAAATGAAAAGTTTCTTTTGTGTATACTATTCTGTTAATTTATTAACCCTTTAATTTTACTCCATGTTCAGCATGCTTTATAATCAATCCTTCCACACTGACAACCTAGATTCTTGCTCCTTTTGATTTGTAGAAGAAATGTATTCTTTAGGCTAGAAGGTCATGAAAAATAATCCACCTATTAAAAGAGTAACATGCTAATTGACCCTACCTTCGCGGCACCCACCAGCCAATCAGAAGTGAGTATGTAAATTAATGCAACAAAGATGACAGGTTAATTTGCATACACTCGCTGAGTGGTCGGGGGCAGGGCTGGATGCTTTCGTCGTCACTATGGTGATGATGCAGGTGTTCTGTACCACCCCCAGCCTCTTGGGCTTCTGAGCAAAGTGGGAAGGCGAAAAGGTGGCTTTGGCCCCAGAGAAGGCAGTGCTGGCAGCCAGAGAAAGAAAGGCCCTTTCTGGCACGAATCTTCATGCATTGGGCTTCTAGTAAATTAATAAGATTGAATTAAATCATGCAAATATGGCAGGAACAGGGAAACCTTTTTAATGGTTTATATGACTCTATGGTATGAGCCTTCAAAGCCAGTGTTACTCTCTTTAACTTAGTTCTTCTCTTTCATATCCTGATAACAGTACATGTTCTTAATACAAAAAGAATGTCAGTTAACAAAGTGCAAAATGTTAATGTAGATGTGTGTGTAAAATACCCTGCATGTTATAGTTGGTAAATTGTACACTTGGTTTAAAGTTTTAACTTCAGTTTTTAAAATTCTGTTTATTAGTTAAAAAAAGCTTTAATATGTTAATTTTACTGATACTGTAAAAGTGATATTAGGGAAATTCTGTACAGATTTCTGCCAGGTTTACCACCAAGCCATCTGGTTAATCCATGATCAATTAATACACTATAGGCCATGCAGACTTCTTTGGCATATTATAGTTCGGATAATTTTAATAACTTTCAACTTTTCTTTTCCAGATTTTTTTTTTTAATTCAGTCTTTGTAAGCAAGAAAATTGCAGAGTTGATAGGAGATAATCTACCTTAAGAAATTATGTTCTAGCATCTCAAAACAACTCTTTGCAGTAGGACAATTATTTCTACTTTACAGGCAGCAAAGCTGAGGTTTAGAGAGGCAAAATATTTTGCTTGAGGTCAGCCTGGTAATTAGGGTGCTGGGATACAAACCCATCCCTGAGTGGCTCCTGAGCACTGATACTCAAACCACCAAGTGACCCACCTCAACACAGCAGGGAGAACAAGGCTACTCTACAGGCAGAACCTCTTTTCTGTTTTACTTGTATATTCTTTTTTTGCTAATTGCATAATGTTTTCATTATTGAGAATTTAATGCATTTCAGAATTTGGTACTCTTCTTTGTCTGAGTTTTCCTGGTCATTCTTGTTTATTTTGTTACCAGAGGCCTGGTGCACAAATTCGTGCATGGGTGGGATTTCTCGGCCTGGTTGGCAATTGGGGTCGGCCGGCTGGGGGTGGGGTGGGTGGAGGACTGCAGGAGGTTGGCTGTAGGACTGCACTGACCACGAGGAGGCAGCTCCTACATGGAGCTTCTGTCCCCTGGTCCTCAGTGTGCATCATAGTTACCAGCCAATCATCTGGTTCTAATGGCATTTAGGCTTTTATATATATAGATTTTATTTTTCAAGTAATTTTGTCTGGGCTAAACATTTATTAAAATTTAATTTAGATTCCATCGAATATATAAATTGGGCAGAATTTATATATTTGATGGCATTGTCTTTGTAGGAAGATGTATTTTTCTTTGTTCAGTTTACTTTTGTGTTCTTTGATAAATGTTACTTGTGCCGAAACCGGTTTGGCTCAGTGGATAGAGCGTCAGCCTGCGGACTGAGGGGTCACAGGTTCGATTCCGGTCGAGGGCATGTACCTTGGTTGCAGGCACATCCCCAGTAGGGGGTGTGCAAGAGGCAGCTAGTCGATGTTTCTCTCTCATCGGCATTTCTAGCTCTCTATTCCTCTTCCTTCCTCTCTGTAAAAAATCAATAAAATGTATTTAAAAAAATAAATTAAAAAATAAAATGTTACTTGTAGTTTTGACACATTTATAGTTATATTATTTCTAGGTGCTTTGTATATTTTATTATAAATTCATTAAAAAATTTTTTTCCTATATAACCAAGCAAAAATTTTACTAACTAGAAGTAAATTTATTTTTAAGTAAACCTTCCAATTTTGTGAAAGAAATATAAAGGTGGATAGAATTGAGGCTTAATACCCTATGATGGCAATTGGAAAGTATCAGAGTTAAAGTTGGGATTTGGGTCTATCTGACTGAACTAATTTCATGTTTTTAATGAAGCTTGAATAAAGCACAACTTTAGCTCTTCATGCCCTTTTTAGATTCTTGTTCTTGTGTCATTTCCAGATTTATTGGAATGAAATGTTCAGCCTGATCTTCATATGAGCAGAATAGCCCCTTGGTCTGATCTTTTATTAATTATCTTTTTTGAATTATTGTCCAAGAAAGAAGAGTACATTGTATCCTGTTCCTTTCGAGGTTTAAATTCAGATTCATAAGACTTTATAGACTTCAGTTGCTTTTATTGTAATTTAAACTACATAATACTATATTGTCCCAGTAGCTATTTGACAACTATCTTAAATAAAAGAACCATTGATTTTATGGTTTTTTAGTCAGTACATATTTGGGGGTAGAGAAGAGATCTAAATTATCTTTTAGGTTTTGGGCTTTTTCTGACTTTTACAGCTTGGGAAATGAAAGAAAGATGTCTGCAGCCTAAAAACCCAGAGAATCTTTAAAATATCTCAAGGTGATGGAGAATGTCTAAAAATGCATTTTCTTAAACTGTCTAGAATTATAGTTACTGTAACCCCAAAGTATGGCATGAGATGTTTCTGCCTCCCAGTGGTTATGCAAGAGACCCAGCATCCCATGTGATGGATGTGTGCTACCACAGGACGACAGCACTTCTCACTATTGCCTTTGAAGTGTTCATTAGTAGTGTGTACATCTAGAATTTAATTACCTTTATGAACTCTAATTTTTTAAAGAAAAACTTAGGATCTGAGACACCTTGGGGTCAGAAGTTCATTCTAGACAGCTTTTAAGCTCCTCTTCTTCCCTTCTCCCATGGATGAGAAGTTAATGTGAAATGTAGTAGTAACAGGGGAAATTATCTTTAGACTGCCCAGGTTCTAAAAAGGAGTGTGGGAGAAAATTTTTGAGTTTTTTTGCTCTGTGGATTTCAGGCATACTAATAAAAACAACAACAAAAAAACTAGATACAGCAAATTTTTCATATACTATCTTTTAAGAATTTGGTGCTTTCACATATCTTTAGTTCTTATAGAAATTTCTTAAAACTTTTAAGATGATATGCTACATTAGAATGATTTCTAAATCTACTTCCTTGTTCTTTGTTGTGATAAAAGGTAAATAATTTCTGTACTAGTGAATATATAAGTATTTCAAATGACTTGAAAATCTTAACTGTAGATATCTCTGATTTAATTGGAATCTCTCCTATATTTAAAATACGAGTTGACAATTGTGTTTAGATAAGTTTTTTTAAAAACTGGATTATAAAATGAAGCACTCTTAGTAAGGCTAATGACATAGGTATTAGATCTTTTGTTGTGAGTAGAGGAAATTGAAAAGGACATTATAGATATGATTTCATTAAGCTAGAGAGCATTGGTGTTCACATTTTAAAAACATAATCATAACTTATCTGGAGTCACATGTTCCATTTTATTGGCTTCCTTCATATAGAAAATATAGAAACCTGTATTAAATGCCTGTGAAAACATGAAGCAATGTATATTTTCTCAGTGAAGGAAGTATTCTGTACATTTTTCATGTTTTACATCATGGTATTTTGAATAACCATGCTTCCATGTTCACATCAATTTTTTGTTTTTCAATTTATGCACAGCACTTGCTCTGAAATTTGGGGACTGAGTACACCAAATACGATAGATCAGTGGGATACAACAGGCCTTTACAGCTTCTCTGAACAAACCAGGTGAATATTCTGCCCTCTGTCAAATCCTAGCAATCTTGTGGGCGGGGGGTATTTGTAAGACCTATTAAGTGGGTTGCTTAATATAATTTTGCCTAGGATGTTACCTTAATATAAAATAAGGCATAGCACTTAAAATACCTGCTTGCCGATATTAAAAGTATTATTAAATGTTTCAGCTGAAGTTTTGATCAATGAAATTCTAATTTTGAATCTTGAAATTATTGAATCCCCTAGAGAATAGGAATTTTGATATAACTATATTCTCATTTCAGTTTGAGATCTGTTGTTGGCCTAATTTTAAAATAGATACATAACCAGGTTTGCTATCGATACATTTCTTGTATACTAATCTCATCTGTATACTAATAAATAAATATTGATTACTGAACACAGTTAACACAAAGCTAACTTGTTTTTTTATGTTATCTTTTTTTAAATCACCTCATTCTCTTTTTAAACTTATTGGTATTTGTCCATTTCATCTCATCATACTCATCATCATCTGCATTTATGTGTGAGCTATAAAAATAATACCTCAACACACTCACAATTGGGTAATGAGTTACATTAGTTTGAGTAAGTTTTATATCATTGTTGGTATTTACCATTCTTCACAGTAGTTCCTTTTTTGATAATTCTGTCACCTACAGAATTAATGCCCCTAAAAGAATCTCTAAATAAGTTTGATTTATTAAAGATAAAAGTTGACAAAGTTTTTCAAATGTAACTATATAATACTATTAAAAATCTAGTTTTCCCAAATGGTTATCCATTCACTTACACTTAACTCATTTGTGTAACATGTTTTAAGAAACATCTGCTAGAGCTGCTGCTTCCTTTTATATCAGATCCATAAAATAGTACATTTTTCTTCCTTGTATTCACTAAAACTAACTGAATGTCTGTCATTTTTTTTTTTTTATGCTTTTATTGTACTAATTTAGTCCAATTGAGTACTTCTGTTTTCTTAAGCTCCCACCTTTCTTTTCCCCTTGCTTCCCAATAGGTCTCTTGATGGTCGTCTTCAGGTATCTCATAGGAAAGGACTGCCACATGTTATATATTGCCGATTATGGCGCTGGCCTGATCTTCATAGTCATCATGAACTCAAAGCAATTGAAAACTGCGAATATGCTTTTAATCTTAAAAAGGATGAAGTATGTGTAAACCCTTACCACTACCAGAGAGTTGAGACACCAGGTAGGAAAAGTAGATTTTTTAAAAATAAATTAAATGCTTGAAGTTAAGTATATTAGGTGTTCATTATATCTAGTTGACTCAGGAAAATTTTGGTGTAAAATTCTAAATTACTTTAAATTCAATATATTATTTGGTGGTCATTAAAAATACTTTACAATTAAAAGAATATTTTATCGAAAATATAACTTAGTGGTAAAGATAGTTTCTTGGAATAGCATATTAATTCTTATCAAAGTACATATATAGGAAATTCCAGTCTGCTTAGAAATAAGCTGATGAATCTGTTTCCCTGTCTGGTGTATTAACTGTTTTCAGTCATTTTGCTCTCTGAGTCTTTTTTTTTTTTTTTTTAAGTATTTTAATAATCTTATCCCTATCGAAGCAATTTAGTAAAACTCATAGAAAGACTTTACCTTTACTTAGCTATGTACTTGAAACGTTTTAAGACTATAGCTGTATTTTTAGAAAATGCCCTAAATTTGATTTTACAAATCTTCTTGCAACCTTTCCAATGGGGATTTTTGAACTTTCATGGTAATAAATATTTCCAGCATCACCTTGTACCAAAAAGTACAAGGTAAATTGGATCTTGGAAATTATTGTGACCCACATGGTAAGTTAAAATCATAATCAGATTTATCAATTTAATAACTTGTATAATACCAAATGGGTAGACCCTAAATTTTAAAAATTAAGCAGGCTACTTCTTTTTTGTGTGAAAACTTAATAAAGGTCCTGTTCCCTACCCCTTGCTCCTTGCCATTAACTTGGATTGTTTTTACTTTTTAGTTTTGCCTCCTGTATTAGTACCACGGCACACTGAGATCCTAACAGAACTACCGCCTCTGGATGATTATACCCACTCCATTCCAGAAAACACTAATTTCCCAGCAGGAATTGAGCCACAGAGTAATTACATTCCAGGTATTTTGCTTTCTGAATCTCCTAAAAATTGGGATAGATACAAATCTTGTTTATAAACATTCAAGTTTTAGTAAACTGTGGTTTGACTTTTTTAAAAATTCCTTTGGATTTTAAATAGAAAAATATGGTCTGTTGGGTGATTATTTTTGTGAAATGTATAAACCTAGTACATTAAACATTTTTGTGTGGAGAAAAGTTTTACTTCATATTTCATTTTCTTTTGCAGTGGCTTTAATCAAAGTACTCTGAGAAGCAGAAAAGAAAAGATCTTAGTAAGTTTATCTTAGTAGTTATTGAAGCTAAGAGAGATATAGAATGTAAGCAAAATAAATGATACAGGAAAAAATGTTCCTGAAACAAATGTAATTAAAAATTAACCAAATAATTACTTTCATAGATAATGTTTAAGAGAGATACAACATTTCAGTGGGAGATACAATATTTTAGTTCTACAGACAGCACACCTATGTTGTACTGAAAATCAGAACACTTCTATTTTAGTTCTTTTTAATCTAGGCCTCAGTAACTTCTGCTTTAATTATTGTATTATGAGATCTAACAACATATTCCATGATACGGTAGCTATCTACCCTTTAATTTTCACTATTTTTTAGGAGAAAAACTAATTTTTCTTACTTTTCTGCCCTTCCCCCTTTTAGCAGAAACTAAAGGTATACTAGGATGAAAATTAAGCTAGACGTTGGATTTTTTGGTGTTAATTTTTTTCTCTTTTTGCAATATTCCTCTATCCCATTGTTATTTTTATACAACTGAAAATATGTAAGGAATTTAGAGTTTTAAGCACATAAAACGTTTCTTTAATGTGTCTTATCATGAAGATAATGCCTTTTCATTGAAGATAAATTTTAAAATATAGTATTTTTCCAAAAAGTTAATTTTTAAGTTAGAAAGTATCTTCTGATTGTTTAAAGTTGCATTACTTTGATTACTATTTTATCCCAAAAGAGGAATTTAAGACTGCTCTTTGGTTGCTAGGTAACAAACTTTTTAAGTTAGGAAGTAGTGTGATAGAGTGGAATGCAGTATGCAGGCTAGGATAAGGGGGAAAGTAGGGCTAAAATGGCATTTTCTAGAGAGAATTAGAATTTGGCTGAAACTAGAGTTAAGTGTGTGGCATGAGGAGAGGGGGAGCCATTTTAAGTCTTTGAAGTGGGACTTAGCAAAATTAGGAAACTGAGGTACCAGTAAGCATACAGTCATACAAGACCATGTACCCAATAATTATTTGGAAGGATGTTATTTAAAATGCTTAGTGACTCACTTGTGGCGATGTTTGGACTTGTTTTTCTTTATTTGTTTAGATTTGGGTATTTTACAAAGTAGTACATCAAATGTACCTATTGGTGTTTTTTTGGACAGTGCAGTTTACCCAGCTCTGATTGATAGCAAAACCTACTGGTTTACTTTTTATTCCACTTCTAAGGAAATTTTAATATTTTCTCGAAAATGCTAATGACTATTATTATTTTACAAATAAAAATGGAGAAAAGTAAACTAGGATAAAGTATTTCTACTTAGAATTTGAAACATAGACAGTTAGACTGGCAAAGCTTAGCTTTGTTTAATTTTGTCACTTTTAATCTTTGAAATAGTGCATAATCCTACCTTATAAAAGAGTAATATGCAAATTAACCATCCCTCTGCTCAAGCCACACCCACCAGCCAATCAGAGCGAGTATGCATATTAACCCCAACCAAGATGGCTGCATCCACAGAGGGCAGTTGAGAGGCTTGGGTTTCAATAGAGGAAGCCAAGCTTTCCACACACCCTGGCGGGCCTAGGCCTCCACTCAAGGGATATAAAGTTTCAATTATAGAAGATAAATCCCAAGAAAAATGGCGGCAGCCACGGAGTTGGAGTGAGCAGGATAGGGTTTCCCCCAGGAACTGAGGAAGCAAAACTTTCCACCTGCCCTGGCTAGCCTAGGCCTCCACTCAAGGCTACAAAGTTTCATTTATACAAGATACATAAAACCAAACAAATGGTGTGAGTGAGCAGGGGGCTTGGCTCTACTCCAGGCTGCAAAGTTTCAATTGTAGAAGGTAAATAAATTCCAGATACCAGGGCCTCTGCTTGGGTTGCCAGGGGGCGTGGCCTGCCTGCAAATCACCACAGGCTCCTTGTCCAGGCCACCCCACAGCCCAAGGGAGCCCCCACTCTGATCCAAGTCACCCTTCAGGGCAAACTAGCTGGCTCCTACCTGTGCACCAGTCCTCTATCCTATCTAGTAAAAGAGTAATATGCAGATTGACCATCACTCCAACACACAAGATGGTTGCCCCCATGTGGACACAGGATGGCCAGCAGGGGAGGGCATTTGGTTGGCACCAAGCCTGCAAGAGAAGGCAGTTGAAGGCGATCAACCCTGTAGGGGAGGGCAGTCAGGAGTGGCCAGGCCAGCAGAGGAGGTAAGTTGGGGGCAAATGGGCTGGCAGGGGAGCAGTTAGACATCAGTCAGGCTGGCATGGGAATAGTGAGAGGGTGATCAGGCTGGAAGGCAGGCAGGCGAGCATTTGGGAGCCAGCAGTCCTGGATTGTGAGAGAGATGTCTGACTGCCCATTTAGACTTAAATGGGCAGTTTAACATCCCTCTAGGGGTCCCAGATTGGAGAGGGGTGCAGGCTGGGCTAAGGGACTCCCCCACCCCACCCCGTGCACAAATTTCTTACACCAGGCCTCTAGTGGCTATGTATTACTCTCCATGTTCTTTGTTGTTTGAATATATGAAGGTATTCTTAGAATTTCAGTATTAAATATTTTGGGGTATCAAACTTAAGAGTTTGATATTAAGAAGTTAAAATTTATAGTTAGCTTATTGAAGGGAGATTGAAAAGGTTAATGAAGAGCCCTAGCCGGTTTGGCTCAGTGGATAGAGAGTCAGCCTGTGAACTGAAGGGTCCCAGGTTCGATTCCATTCAAGGGCATATACCTTGGTTGCGGGCACATCTCCAGTAGGGGGTGTGCAGGAGGCAGCCAATCAATGATTCTCTCTCATCATTGATGTTTCTATCTCTCCCTCTTTCTCTCTGAAATAATACAAATATATATTTTTTTAAAAGATTAATGAAGAAAATCATTAACCCTCTTCTCTCTCTTCCTGTGTAATTACAGAATTTTTTTTGAGTATGTATCTGCATTATTTGAATTGCTTAAAATTTCCAGCAATGTATATATTAAACTATTGATAATCATTTATACTTACTTTTCATTTGAAATTATAATTGGTAAAATTGTACAAATGTTTTTATTTTACATGAAGCTCATTCAGGTATTCATACGCCTCCTGAATAAACATATTGGAAACAGCACACTGGAATCTTATTTTCAGGGGGAATTTTGCCTCCGTTTTGTGCAATAATCTGTATTTGAATTTAATTTTCTGCTTTAATATTCAGGAATTACTGCTTAGAAATCTTTGGAGAAATACACTTTTTGGTAGAATTCAAGCTAGTCCAGTCCTGAAGTATATTACCATATTTTGCCCTATAAAACTAGTGGAAGATGTAACTCTGTATTACTCTGTAATTTTAAATTGTGTGTGTGTGTGTGTGTGTGTGTGTGTGGTGAGGCCAAGAGGGAAGTGGGGGGTGGGAGAGTTCCTTTAATCATTTAGATACTCATCCATGGTGGCGATTAGTTTAATAAAAAAAAAAAATTTATTACATTGTAGGTACTAATATCTTTGAAGTATACTGATCCAGAACTGAGGTATCTCTGAAGTTATATTTTTGGCTCTTGCCCCAGAAAATATACATAGGAGAATGAGCCAGATATGTAAATAATAGTTAAGAAAATATGCCCAAGCAGCTCGATTGTATTTCAAGTAGGCTTTAAAGGTTTGCCTACAAGGTTTGGACCAGAGCCTGAATCCTAAGCTCTTAGTATCCAATACTGCTTTTTATAATGATGTTATATAACATTTATGTTAATCGGAGCAATTTGTTGGGTTATCTTTGGTAGCTGGGAAAAAAGGTGAGATTAAATTGTAACTCTACTTGATTTGTTCTAAATTTCTGTAGAAACACCACCTCCTGGATATATCAGTGAAGATGGAGAAACGAGTGATCAACAGTTGAACCAAAGTATGGATACAGGTAAAAAAATATATTTATCTTTCAAAATTTTTTAGTAATTAGATAACCATTTTGCCGCATTTGAAACTCACATGAGTTTTTCATAACTGTTAAAGTTAGAGAAGTTGGGACACACAAAAAAAACAAAACAAAACAAAACAAAAAACCGTTTATCTTGATTTAATTATATTTGAGCCATCACAGGGTCCTGTTGTCCATGGAAAAATAACATATGCTGCTCAGCAGAAAAATTGGTAAATTTTTTTCTTGTTAGAGTAAATAAGAATTTAAAAAAAATATATATTTTATTGATTTTACAGAGAGGAAGGCAGAGAGATAGGGAGCTAGAAACGTCGATGAGAGAGAAACATCGGCCAGCTGCCTCTTGCACACCCCCTACCGGGGATGTGGCCGCAACCAACGTACATGCCCCTGACCGGAATCTAACCTGGGACCTTTCAGTCCGCAGACGGACGCTCTACCACTGAGCCTAACCGGTTTCGGCTACAGTAAATAAGAATTTGAGAACACTCATTTATTTCTCTTTGTAAATATTCTGTGCTTCTGTTGAAAGTTTTAGTTATCCTGTGATTAAATGTCTTTGTGATGAAAGCTCATAATTGGCCTAATTACAGATTTTCAGAAGAATTTGGAAGGGAAGGGACTCCTCTTTTCAGTGCTCTTTTAACATAAAAGTGAGTTCTCAATTACAGTACACTGTTTTTGTTACAAGATACAAAAAGTATCTTGTACCTCACTTAATGAAATTACTTTCTAATTAACTTAGCTATCAACTCCAAACACAATGGAGAAAAAGTTTCAATATGTAATAAATATTATACACCTCAAAGTTTTAAAACAGTTGTTATGTAATAATGTATAATCCACCAGATCTAATAGGTTGCCAGTAAAATAGATGTAATTGTAATTGTCCATTTTTATCCATTTCAATTTGTCAGTATCTTAAGGATTGGACACATTAAAATTACCACCTGACAAATTTCTATAGTTTATAGTAAAGCATTCTGCAGTTATGATAATTTAAGTTGTTTTTAAATGAATTAACATTGGCAGTGGAGGGAAGTTGGAGTGGGCAGGCTTTTACAATAATTCTGTTGTTTAAATCCTTCCATTATTTAGACTTTCATGTAAGAAAGCTTCTACTATAGTTAATCATACTTACAAGTGTTCATAGTAGTAGGTAGCCAAGAAAGATAGATAATCTAATGATTATTGGAAATAACGTTATATATTTTAATGTAAATGTCTTTCTGCAAATGATATTTGGCTTTCCAAATGTATCTTTCTAACACACCTATATATCGAAAAATTGTGTTCCTGAATCAGCCTTGTTCCTATTTGTGCCCCATGATGGTCAACTGCTGCTCTACATTTAAAAGTGAATGCCATGATAGCCAGCAGGGAAATGCAAATCAAATCCAGTGGCATACCACTTCAAAGGCTAAGCAGCCTGCCAACTGGCCGATAGCTATGAGCAATGGTGACTTGGCAGCTGTGGTTCTTGGGTGATGCATCTGGAACCAGAGAGGAGAGAGCCCAATTCCGGGGTATGCCACCCTGTCACAATCCAGGACAACTCGGGAGATGTTGGAGAGCTGTTTTTGGCCCAATACCTGCAGGCCAGGCTGAGGGATCCCACCTATGCAGGAATCTTTGCACTGGGCCTCTAGTGGTCATAATAAAAAGAGAAGGATGATAACAAGTGTTGATGGGGATATGAAGAAGTTGGAGTCTTCATATGGTTCTGGTGGAAATATAAAATGGTTCAGTTACTTTGGAAAAATTCGCTCTTCCTCAAAAAATAAATTATAGAATAACTAGAGGCCCAGTGCATGAAATCCATGTATGGGGGTGTGTATCCCTCAGCCCAGCCTGCACCCTCTCCAATCTGGGACCCCTTGAGAGATGTCCAACTGCCTGTTTAGGCCCTCTCTGATCAGGCCTAAACAGGCAGTCAGACATCCCTCTCACTATCCAGGACTGCTGGCTCCCAACCACTTGCCTATCTAACTGCCTGATTGCCTCTAATCACTAATGCCTGCCAACCTGATCACCCCCTAACCACTCTTCTGCCAGCCTGATCAACACCTAACTGCTCCCCTGCCAGCCTGGTCACCCCTAACTGTCCTTGCCTGCAAGCCTGGTTGTCCCTAACTTTCCTCCCCTGCTGTTCTGGTAACCCCTAACTGCCCTCCCTTGCCAGCCTGGTCGCCCCCAACTGGCCTCCCCTGCAGGCCTGGTTGCCCCTAACTGCCCGCTCCTGCTGACCTAGTTCCCCCCAACTGCCCTCCCCTGTAGCCTGGTTCCCCTCAACTTCCCTTCCCTGCAGGCCTGGTCCCTCCCCAACTTCCCTTCCCTTTAGGCCTGGTCCCCCCCAAATGTCCTCCCTTGCAGGCCTAGTCCCTCCCAACTGCCCTTCCCTGCTAGCCTGATCACCCACCACTGCCCTCTCCTGCCAGCCATCTTGTGGTGGCCATCTTGTGTCCACATGGGGGCATTCGCCTTTGACCATATGGGGGCAGCCATCTTATGTGTTGGGGTGATGGTCAATTTGCATATTACTCTTTTATTAGATAGGACAATATAACCAGCAAGCTCCTAGATAAATGCCCAAGAAAATTAAATAATTTTGTACACACCTATGGTATACTTGTAACCAAGTGTTCATGTAAAAGTGGAAGCAACCCAATTATCAAATAATGAATGGATAAATTAAATCCATACATTGGAATATTGGTCAATCATATAAAGGAATGAAGTACTGATCCATGGTATAACATGGATGAATCTTGAAAGCATTAATTGAAAGAAGCCAGACACAAAAGGTCACAAGGATTCCAACTGAAGTAAGAAATGCGTATTTTATAATATAGATGAAATGTTACAAGAAAAGTAAGATGAATATACACTAGTCATTTCAAATCTGCAAGGAATGTGTTGCAAGACCCCTAATGCATGCCTGAAATAGTAAATGATATAGAGCCCTATATATAATATAATACTTGTGGCCCAGTGCACAAAAATCGGTTCCTCAACCTGGCCCACACCCTCTTGCAGACCAGAAGCCCTCGGGATGTCTGACTGCTGGCTTAGGCCCGCTCCATAACATCTTTAGCGCTGCTATGGTGGTGGCCACTGCCTCTGCGCTTGTGGGCTATGAGCTTGGCTTCTGGCTGAGTGGTGCTCCCCCTGTGGGAGTGCACTAATCACCAGGGGGCAGCTCCTGCAATGATCATCTGCCCTCTGGTGGTCAGTGCATGTCATAGTAATCTTTGATTCCGCCATTCAGTCGATTTGCATATTACCCTTTTATTATATAGCAGTGGTTCTCAACCTTCCTAATGCCGTGACACTTTAATACAGTTCCTCATGTTGTGGTCACCCCCCAAACATAAAATTATTTTTGTTGCTACTTTGTAACTGTAATTTTGCTACTGTTAATGAATCCTAATGTAAATAGTATCTATGTTTTCCGATGGTCTTAGGCTCTCTAATTGCAGTTCTCAACCTGTGGGTTGCCTAAAACCATCAAAACCACAAGTAGGGTCGCCTAAAACCTAATGTACTGCACACATTTCTGCTCTTCATTCCTTTGCATAGACATTTGTCTAGTTGTGTTGGTACCATTCGTTGGAGATCCGTTTCCTGTTGATTTACCTTGGGTTCTTGAGTGAAAATCAAGTGATAATATATATGCGGGTCTGACTTATGGTCTGCTGTTAAACCAAGATAGTGAATTCATTTTCAATCATCTTATTTTTCAGTTTTACAATTTTCATTTAAACTTTTATTTTTGTTAATCTTCACCTGAGAATATTTACTCCATTGATTTTCAGAAAGTGGAAGGGAGGGGGAGAGACAAAGAGAGAAATATTGATTGGTTGCCTCCCACACAAGCTTCAGTCAGGGTCAGGATGGAGCCCTCAACCCTTCAGTGTGCAGGCCAATGATCTATCCAGTAAGCCAAACTGGCTAGGGATTAATTTAAACTCTTAATCTGATAGTTTTATTATCTGGTTTATATGTAGGTCTACTTCTGGATTAGTTTTTTTCTACTTTGCGTTATTATGTTGTTGTTTTTGATTGGATGGTGGGTATTGTGAATAAGGTAATACTAGAGAGTAACATAGAACTGGCATGCAATGATACATGCACAAGTATTTCTGTAGATGTTTTAGCTAAAAGTAACAGAAACCTATCTTAAGTGACATCAGAGGACTGGCGCCATGAGAGATTCCATTAGCCTTTCCCCCTGAAACTTTAACAAGTTAATCAACTATAACTCAACAAAGGATTCCAAAAAATAAAATAAAAGTAACAGAGACCTGTGATACAAACCAGTGAAATTGGATATTTTTTATTTCTCATAATAGGAAGTTCCAGACCTTAGTAACAATGTGTATATATGAATAACTAGTAGTAGGTTAATTGTTAATTAACCTGTGTTTATAAAAATGTTTACAAAAACTTGTTAGTTAATAAATTGTTACCTTAATTTAACTTTTAAAAGCTTTATATGTGTGTGTGTGTGTGTGTGTGTGTTATAATGAACCTTTATTTTTGTAATTCCTAAGTTCTTTTATCACATCTGACTGAACTATTAGTTTAAATTAATGAACTGTAAACTACTGGTCATTTCTGATAAGTATTTAAAAAGTTAAAAATTGGGCAGTTTCCTCCATGTCTGATAGTGGTTTGTTTATTTTATAACAGCTTCAGGAAACAGCAGTGAGTTTTACTTTATTGTTCTAAATATATTTTGACCTTTCTTAGTTGTACCTGTTGGTACATGCCAACAGATTTTTCAAAATGAGGAACAAAAAAAGAACCTAAGAACTTAATTTTGTTATGGAAGACTGTTCTCTTCTAAAAATTAATTATCATCTGTTCTCTACTTTTTATTCATCTGTTTTATTGGGATTACCCTTTCTCTTGTGGTGCCTAGAATTTTGTGTTATGGTTATAATAGTGTGGGGAGGGGAGGTACACAAGGGGGTCTGACCTGTCTTATTCTACATAGATGCCATTGCTATATATGTGAAGCTTGGGAGCTGTAGGTCATGTTTTTTTAATACAACTTTCCCAAAAGGTATAGAAAAGAATGATCCAAAGACAAAATTTATAATTATTGTAACTATTTAACATGTTATTTAAATTACTTGCATGGTATTGAGTGGTCTTGTTTTTTGTTTTGTTATTTTGCTTTTTTTCTTCTGTGTCTGTAGTTCTACCTTTTTTTTATTTTGTAATCTTTGCCCTCTCTCCATATGTGCTTGATTAGAGTTAGCTTGCTTACCTAAAACTGGAAGACATGAGTAATTTTCTAAGAAAATATAATACCAAACTGACTCCAAAAAATAGAGCTATCAACTGTCATAGAAGAAATAGAGAAATTTCTTAGAAAAAACCCTAGATAATGTTTAACTGTAAACAATTTAACAGTGGATCTCTATGAAACTATTAAGGAATGTTATTAAAATGCTCTTTAAACTGTTCAGAGCATAAGAAAGGCATACAGCTTCTAGATTATAATTATGAAGTAGCATAACATTGTACTCACAGTATAAATCTGCAGACCAGTATTGCTTGGGAATATTTATGCAAAAATCCTAAATAAGCATTGTTATCTCTCATCATCAAAGCCAGCATTGTGCTTAATGGGAAAAATACTAGAAGTATTCTCTGAAAGTTAAGAGTAAAACAAGAGTATTCATTGTCACCACTATTTTACCAAAGTGTGATACATCTCAAAATGCCTGATAAATTATATCATGTAAAAGTTTTTTTTAAGTACTGCTTAATCAGAATTAGGATGAAGAGTCATAAAACAATCAAATATTTGTAACTCGTAGGGCTAAGATGCCTAATACATAAAGAGCCATTTATAGATTCCTAAGAAAAGTGATTAGAACCATAATAGAGAAAAGAACAAAGGAAAAGCCGAAGCCGGTTTGGCTCAGTGGTAGAGCGTCGGTCTGTGGACTGAAAGGTCCCAGATTCGATTCCGGTCAAGGTCATGTACAATGGTTGGGGCACATCCCCGGTAGGAGGTGTGCAAGAGGCAGCTGGCTGATGTTTCTCTCTCATCGACGTTTCTAGCTCGCTCGCTCTCTCCCTTTCTCTCTGTTAAAAATCAATAAAATATATTTAAAAAAAAAAAAAAAAAAAGAACAAAGGAAAAGAACAGACCATTCATAGAAAGGAAATCTATACTAATAATGGAGATATATGCAAATTGGCCAATCAGGACTGGGGCGGGGCCATGGTGGAGAGCTCTCAGCCTGCCTGCACCACAGGTCTGAAGGGCATGGTGAAGAAGGGAGAGAGCAGATAGGCAGGGTGATGTGGCCAGGAAGGGAGAGCAGATAGGCAGTTAGGGGGATCAGGCCAGGAGGGGAAAGCAGTTAGGCAGTTAGGCTGACAGGTGAGTGGTTAGCCAGTGGTTCTGGATTGCAAGAGGGATCCCGGATTGGAGAGGATGCAGGCCAGGCTGATGGACCCACCTGCGCATGAATTTCATGCACCAGACCTCTAGTTTGTATATAGAAAAACAGGGAGCACAGAACAGAATATATTTGCTTATTTGGTTCATTTGATTATTTCTGGGAAAATACACTGGATGCCTTTGGGAAGGGGAACTCTGTGACTAAAAGCCAGGACTGTTTTACATCTTTTTTACCTTTTATATATTGAAGTCTCCAAAATTACACTCACATAAAGCAGCTGTATACTTTTTAAATTTATATTTATTGATTTTCAGAGAAAGAAACATTGATTTGTTGTTCCACTTATTTATGAATTTATTGGTTGATTCCTGTATGTATCCTGACCAGAGATCAAACCAATAAGCTTAGCCTATCAGGACAATACTTTTAACCAGCCTAGCTACCTGACTAGGACCAAGTGGCTGAATATTTATAATGCTTGGGATGTAAATTATGTATTATTTGTGACGCTTAATTATAAACCTGTATTATTACTTGGTCAGAAGTTCTGGAAATACTTTCATATCTGTTTTTAAATTAATTTCTTTTATTTCAGGATCCCCAGCAGAGCTATCTCCTACTACTCTTTCCCCTGTTAATCATAGTTTGGGTAAGTTGAAAATGTTTTCCTTCCACTGTTTTAAACTGCATCACTTACTTAAATGTTTTCTCTGGTCATTATTTTATATATGAGAAAGGGAACCCAATAAATAATCGAGTAATTATTCAAATTAATGCTTTTTAAAAATGATACTGGTAATGTGCCTCAATATTATTATACCACTTTTCTACTCACACATGTAAGAAATTAATTATCTGTTTATTCATGGAAACAATATTTTTAGTCACAATAAATTTTATGACATTAAGACTGGATATTTGTGGGAATGTTATTTTATGATATGTACTGTAATCGCAATTATTAATATAAGAGGTAAATATATGTACACATAAAACAAATAGGTGGTTTGGGGGCTATGTGTATGTGAGAGCTAATGTGTATATGTGTGTGCGCACATGTGTGTACGTGTGTGCATATAAATATTCTGTAGTTTATTTTTGGACTTTATTTTATCTTGCTATTTCACAATTTCTCTTCATTTGATACATTTGAAATTTATACTACAAAAATGGTCATTTTAAAAATGATACTCCTTGTGATGGTTTTTAATCAAAATTGTAGAACTAAATACATGTGATCCTAGTTTTCCCATGCAATATATAGATTCTTTTGATTCCATGTTCTGTTTCTACTAGCACATTCTTTGTATTTATTAACTTTTTGGGGGTTTTTTTGTATGTGTCGGAGGGTGCTTTATATTGTAATTAGGGTAAGCCCTGAAGATCTGATGTTAAAGTAAACAAATATCAAAAGTATGTCATTTTGTGTCGTATTATTTTGACATTTTCCTTCTTGTGGCCATAGATTATTCATTCTTGCTCTAGCTTTATTCCACTTAATTCTACCAAAAATTGGCTTTATTATGCAAATGTTTTATATATTTATCTAGGATGGTTTTCTATTGAACAGGAACTAGTATAAAACTACTAGGACAGTGATCAGCAAACTGTGGTTTGCCACTCTGTTGACTAATGAGTTTGCCAACCACTGTATAAGGCATTACCCTTACCCAGAAATTTTGACTTCAGGTTAAAGACATTAGTACATTATTAAAATGTTTTTTAAGTGTTTTTACCTAAGGCAATGGTTGGCAAACTCATTAGTCAACAGAGTGGCAAACTGCTGGTGAACCGCATGTGGCTCGTAAGCTGCAGTTTGCCGCCACTGTACTAGGAGAACAGATGATGCCTCAATATCTAAAAAAAGAGGTTTGAAGATTGGATGACTTAATGAGATGGGGGAAATTGAAAATCTGGTATGTTCTATAGACTGGAGTTTGTGACGTAGAAGTTAGGTCTACTTCCTAAGCTGTTGCCAGAATAGGCTGGCATAGAGCATGTAAAGGTGATAATATTCAATATATTCTTGGCTTGAATTGTTCACACAACATTTCTTACTCTTATGGGTTTGGTTTCCTCCGCCCTAGACTTGCAGCCAGTTACATACTCAGAGCCTGCGTTTTGGTGTTCAATAGCCTATTATGAATTAAACCAGAGGGTTGGAGAAACCTTCCATGCATCACAGCCCTCACTCACTGTAGACGGCTTCACAGATCCATCAAATTCAGAGAGATTCTGCTTAGGCCTACTCTCCAACGTCAACCGAAATGCTACAGTTGAAATGACACGAAGACATATAGGTATGTTTTTGTTTTTTCCCCCCCTGTGTGAAAAACCAATATCATATACTCATAATGTGAGCATTATGTGGTTTACCACATCAAACGATTGTGTGCAGAAAAGCCTGCCTTGTCTCTGTCAGTTTAAGTGCACAGCTTCACTGCTTTTAATAGATCCTGGTGATCCTGCCATCTGCAAACTCTTTGACTTCTCTTTATTTGGCATATTTGATACTGGGAAGTCCTTCAGTAAATAGGTGTTAAAATAACTTTACTTTGCTGAGTCTCTACCAATCATAAATTATCATGTTCATATTTTTTTAACAAATGATGAATTTTTTTTCTGTTCATTTACATTTCCTAGTTTCTCCCTTCAGTGAATTCATGTGTTAAATCTCACTTTTAATCTGAAGCAAGATACGTAAAATAACAACTATTATTTCTGAAGCTCAAAAATAATCCACAAAGTATCTCAAAATGTGGTAGTCCCAACAACCTTTTAGCAAGTTTATGAGGTCAAAACTATTTTTCTTAATGGTACTAGGATGCTCTTTGCCTTTTCCACTGCCATATCTCACACACAGTGAAGTATTCAGAGGCTAGATGGCATATGAGCTTGCAAGAGATTAAAGGTACGTTAAAGATAATCCAGGGCTCTTCTGTTAAATGAGACATTAAAGAGATTTGCAAAAATACATTGCTACTCTGAGAACATATATAAAATATATGTATATTTTACTTTGGGAGGTTACTTTTTTTAATAAACATGTTATGTTAATATGTTGAGGGTTCTTTTAAGTGAATACATTTTTTAAATCTTAGTTTTAATGTCTAGTATGGTAAGTTTCCATAGATGTAAAACTCTTTGGGGTTCTTCAATATTTCCTTTTTACTGATGTAAAAATAATGTTTGAACACCACTGATATAACTGACCATAATTCTTATTACCTTAAAGTAAATTCTTGTAAAACCTGTTAACCGAGCAGGATGTATAAATATGTCAAAAGTAAACAATATCGGGAACGGGTAGGACGTATGAATGCATCCTGGAAATATATGTTGTGCTCTGAGAGAGACGGTATATATTTTTTGTAATCTTTATAATTGTTTGTAAAATTTATAATTTTTTAATTCGATGTTTCCAATTTTTTGTTGGTATTCTTTTCTATTTGTAATTTTGTATTTTTCTTTGTGCTTTATTTATTAATAAACGAAAAATATATATTTCATTTATTTTAATGAAGTATAAATAAAAAAATAATATAAAATTACGTCCACTGGGCGTGACATACTGACACGTCCTAGTGAAAGAGTATGCGCCCATTGTATGTTGTGTAATTAAAAAGGGAACTCCCCGGTTAATAGGTTAACAATTGTTTTTTTCTGTTAACAATTGTTTTTTTCTGTTTCCATTTAATGAACAGTCACCTCATTTGATAAATGATCCTGATCATTAAAGAGTGAGTGTGATACTGTAGAGTATTAGGGATTTAAGAGGTCTCTTATTTGGCTTCATGTGGAATTCCTCAAATCTTGCTTGATTTTTAAAATTTTGCATATCTTGTTAGGATACCAAGGTATCTTATAGATGAGGAAGGCCTCTGCATATCCACCCTACTTTAAAATATTCTTTTTTAACTTTAGATTTCTAGTTTATTAGGTGTCTTTGACCAGAGAATATAGCCTGAAAATATCTTTATACTTTTTAGACTTAATGTTTTCCTGATGGTCAAGTAAATTGTTATTTTTAAACACATATTCTCTAGTTATAAGAGAACATGGCACCAGATTTTGTACCTATATATTAAGTCTGGTTTGTTGGTTCTTTTATTAGCTTTGTGAGAGAGTTTTGTGTGTTTTTTTAATTGTATGACATACTACCATACACTGACCAGCCTGAAATAACACAAATTTATCATCTCACAGTTTCCATGGGTTAGAATTCTAGGCTTGGCTTAGGAGTCTCCTCAGGGTCCACAAGAGGAATCAAAGTGTCATCTAAACTGTCTTCCAACCTGGAACTTGAGGTCCTTGTCCAACCACATGATGTTGCAGCGTTCCTTGAACTTACAGTACCAAGGTCCTCATTTCCTGCAGACTGACAGTTAGTGGCTGCTGTCAGCATCTAGGGTCCACCTACATTCCTTGCCAGTTGACCTGCATTCATAGTCCCCACTGGAAAGTCCCTTGGGTTGACCGTCTCTCAAACTTTGAATCATTTTCACCAGGAACAGCCCAGTCTCTTAAGGTCAGACCCACCAAAAAACTGTAGGTAATTTTTTTTAATTTTTATTTTAGAGAGAGGAAGAGAGAAACATTGAGATGAGAGAGAAACATTGTTTGGTGTCCTCCCGTATGCACCCAGACCAGGGACCGAACCAGTGATTTGGTGTGTACAGGACAATGCTCCACCAACTGAGCCACACCAGCCAGGGCTTGACCATTTTTATTACCTTTTTTCCCCTTAACTTTAGTGGGCTCTTTAAAAAAATACTGTGTTTTATAATGAAGGTATATTTCTCCAAACATTCGTTAATTCCTTCAAAATTAACTCAATTTCTTTTACTTAATTTTAAAATACATAATTGGTATAAATTTTTTATACTACTATCTGTACTTCTCTACATTGTTTAAATAGTTTTGATAGGCATGTATTATTTTTGCAAATCAATAAAGAAATTGTTGAGAAATATTTGGGAAAATATACTGTAGCACAGTGGTCAGCAAACTCATTAAGTCAACAGAGCCAAATATCAACAGTACAATGATTGAAATTTCTTTTGAGAGCCAAATTTTTTAAACTTAAACTTCTAACACCACTTCTTCAAAATAGACTCGCCCAGGCCGTGGTATTTTATGGAAGAGTCACACTCAAAGGGCCAAAGAGCCACATGTAGCTCGTGAGCCGCAGTTTGCCGGCCACGCCTATAGCATGTTAAGCATAACTATGGAAAATATCATCTAAGTACCTTATATCATTTTAGTATTCCTCCAGAAAACTTGCAAAGTCATGCTGAAATAGTAAATGTTATAAAACTAATCCCATATGTATTTTGTTTTAGGAAGAGGAGTGCGCTTATATTACATAGGTGGGGAAGTTTTTGCTGAGTGCCTAAGTGATAGTGCAATCTTTGTGCAGAGCCCCAATTGTAATCAGAGATACGGCTGGCACCCTGCAACAGTGTGTAAAATTCCACCAGGTATGGATACAACAACGTAAATAAAACTTCTTTTCTGGCTGCTGTTAAATTTAGGAATCAGAAGATGATTTGCATGCTTGTACTCTAATATGTGTAGCCCTTTTAGAACTATTTTCTTATAATATACTCTTTTTACACAATTATTATTATTTTACTTTTTTTTTTTTTTTTTCCATCATAGGCTGTAATCTGAAGATCTTCAACAACCAAGAATTTGCTGCTCTTCTGGCTCAGTCTGTGAATCAGGGTTTTGAAGCCGTGTATCAGCTAACTAGAATGTGCACCATAAGAATGAGTTTTGTGAAAGGGTGGGGAGCAGAATATAGGTATGAAATACATATTCAGTTGTTAAGTTTCCACATACTTCTTTTTTTTCCTGCATTCTTTGCACAGTCCGGAGTTCACATGTATCTGTTTTCATTGAGGTTATGGAGTCAGTAGATCTTTATGTGAAATAAAAGAAAGTTGAGGCCTTCTAGATTCAAAATATAGTGAATTTCTGTTGCTGGCATTATAAAAGATAGGATTGAAACATGTATAGATATTCACTGTAACATAATACAGGTTGTTAAATACCATAAAAAGGGTGTAAAAGAAGGATGATGTTAGTTCATAGAAGGAGGTGTGTTCACTGGAGTTCAGTGAAGGTTTTCGGTAGAGATGATGGAGATCATGTACATTCTAAGAGAAGTACAGTATTTTAGTAGTCATAGCTATGAGGGTGTGGCAGATGGTGCATCTGGCAATAAAATAGCAGTTCAGTTTGCCTGGAGTGTATAGAAAATACAGAAGAAGAAGTCTGGACAAATAAGTTGAGACCACCTAAATATTATATAAAGTTAAGAGTTGGAACTTGATTCATTAATAGAAGGGGGTACTTACTAGGTGTCAGGCACTGTGCTTGTTTTAAATGTAGTATCTCATGTCTTTCAACATTGCTAAGAATTTCTGTTACTATCTTTTCTTTATGAGGTTGCAGTCTTTGTAAATAAAAAAATGGTTCAGACTTATTTGGAAATAGGCTTACAAGAGATTTGATCATTTGTCCAAGGACACATTGTAAGTGGTAGAGACAGTACTTGACGGAAGTTCTCCTTGACTCTTACTTTCTTTAAACATAGTGGTACCAGTTACATAATTGAGTTTTACAAAAGCACATTTGTCATCAAGGGGTAAGATAGATTACAATAGATTGGATTCCACATCAAAGAAAAGGAAGACTTTCTCAGCATATTAAAGGATGGAATTATAAATAAAATACTTGACCTTTCTCCACGTCATTTGCTTACTCTTTGAATATCTACTTAAGAAGATGTTCATATAGTATAGCAATAGAATTCCGCAGTTTGGGCCCTTCTTCAGAATTTATTTCATTTCATTTGGACTTGATTTCTGATCTTAAGTTGTGTGAGGTGGTTAGATTTGAGGTCTATTGGTTGTATACTTCCACAAAAATATATTCTGTGCTGTATATTTATATCTAGAACGAAGACTTCTCACTATTTTGTCCTAGTTATATTAGAATAATTCATTTTGTGACTTTGCTGTAGTTCTCTTTGTTTCCCTTTTGACATGTGATACGTCTAAGAAATTGCTGAATTCCTTTTTTTCCTTTGTACTTGAATTGATCTGAGTTGATATTAAAATTAGATTCAAATAGTGCTATTAGATATGATGTTTTCAGGTCAGATCTTTTTTTCCCTTTCAAGTGATTAGAATATTGCAGAACATGGTAGAAATCAGTTGAATTAAATATGAATAGATTAGAAAAATAGATTATAGGTCTCCCACTAAAAGCAGTTTTAATTGGAAAAGAGAGATACTGCCCTTCATTTACTGTGGACTGCCATTCTATAACCTAGAGGTCATTTAAAACCTATAATTATGAGAAGCAATAATATACAATATGGCTTTATGGGTGTAGAGTTAGGTACATCTACTTGGATAATTAAGAAGCTTTCTTAAAATTTATAAATCAAAATATCTATGTATCTGTGAACTGTGGGTAGTTACCAAGAATCTTATCTTTAATGACTTTGGAACTGAGGAGGTAGTTCGTACTTCTAAGTTGGACTTCTAAAAACAGTTTTTTCGTTTCTTTAATGCCAGCTCAATTTTCAGTATAAAGTCAGGAATACAGTAAAACGGAAATATAGATGTGTAAGGAATTCATATTTTATTGAGAAATAAGTGAATCGTACTGGAGTAACTAAACAGATAGAGGGATGAATAATGCCTCAACTGCAATTTTGTGCCCAAATAGATAGAGTGACAGTATTCTTAAACTTTTTCTACCTTTCATTGGCCTAGATTAAGGATTTTTTTCTCTAAAGGTTAAACTAATATAGTAATGAAATGATCAGGTTGAAAACAAACTGGAAAAAAACAAACTTCAGCAAAAATCCAAACTTCAGCACATAGCAAAATCAAAATTAGAAGATTTTGTCAATATGGCTGCCAAAAGTATGTTCCAATGGAGAGATGGAAGGCAATAGAGCTGTGTGAAGAACAAAACAAAAAGAATGAAAGGGAAGATGAGAAAGGGTCAGTCTTGCCTATGTCTCATGGCACTTTGTAAAGTGTGCTTGTGCAATTTTAAGCTGTATAGATATTAGTAGACATAGTATCTAAATCAAAACAAGGCAATGAGGGTTTGTCTCAATGGATAGAGCATAAGTCTGTAAACTGAAAGGTCCCAGGTTCCATTCCAGTGAAGGGTTGGGTCCCCAGTAGGGGGCATGCATGAGGTAACCGGTCAATGATGTTCCTATCATCTCTCCCTTTCCCTTCCTCTCTGAAACCTATAAAATAATAATAATTTTTTAAAAAACAAGGCAGTGAGTCTATTCAGATCAAATTTGAACTATTGTGTTTTGTGTGTCATATTTTAGGAATGTCTTAGTATTTGTCTCAGACACTGAGACAAGGATTCAAGTGCAAAGTGTTTGTTCAGGAAATGGAGGAAACACTGGTAAGGAAAGAGGAAGTTGGAAGTGAGGTAGGGGAGGGAAGGCAGCCAGTATCATTATTAATCCATCTACTATAGCGGGTGGGTCACTAGTTTATTCCCTGAGGGAAACTTTGGAAAATGGTAAAGAACATTCAGAATTATCCCACCCAGAGGGAAAGGAAACAACATTTAAATGCCAATTCCTTTGTCATTGCTTGAAGGCTGCTCCTGGGAATATTAATTTTCTGGCACTTCTAGTCTGCTGCACATGTGGACAGAGCCAAGAAGTTCTCAGGCAGATAAGTGCAGACACCTGCAGTTGGAAGATGTCTAGAGCAGCGGTCGCCATCCCGTGGTCCATGGACCAGTAGTGGTCCGTGAGGGCATAATAGGGCACTGAGACCCTCTGCTACAAAAAACCCACATCCCTTTAAATACAGTTTTAATATATTGAGCATGTGTTGCTTGGAGGTGAAATGTTGATAATAGCCTTTTCTCATGTTTGTAGGGCTATCACAAAAGAAGCAAGCAGATTTACTGACAAATATTAAATAAAACAACTGAAATCAGTACATAGAAATGACAGGATGTCATTGAACAATTTATGATTCCCAGACAATAGCTCTTTTTGTTGAAGTAGTAAGGACGTTTCTTATTGAAAGTCTGCATGATGTTGCTAAAAGGGATAGCATTGCTTTGTCCAGGAAAGTAGAACTAGTATAACTCTTAACATTTTATGATGAGCTTGGGTCAGAATTATGTTTTGGTATACTTTAACCTTATTCAATTTAGACTTCATATGGTATTTGAATATCTCCTGTCCTGTAGTTGTTAAATAAGTAGGGTAACTATATATTCCTGTTAGCATGGGACAGTCCTGGTTTACGTCTCTTGCCCTGGCATGATTATTAATAATGACTAAATTCCCTCCTAAAGGTGTCCCATTTTGGTTGGTAAATAATAAGGTCACCCTACTAATTTTAATTTAAGGGGAAAAGAATGCTTTTTATAAATCGTTTTTTTAAAAAAAATGTCATTGAGAATATTTTGTTAGACTTTGAGGATTAAGCAGTTTTCAAATAATTAGATACCCAAATTTGTTCAAAAGAATTTAGGTTTCAGTATACCACTTTTTACTTTATCTAAAATCTTATTGCATGTAACTAAACATACTAGTCATGTTCTCTTCATAATTATTTGCTTGTATTCTCTTAAACAGAAGGCAGACGGTAACAAGCACTCCTTGCTGGATTGAACTTCATCTGAATGGACCTCTACAGTGGTTGGACAAAGTATTAACTCAGATGGGATCCCCTTCAGTGCGTTGCTCAAGCATGTCATAAAGTTCCATCACCAATCCAGTCCCATCAAAAGACTTACTGTAACAACTCTTCTGTCATAGTATTTGTGTGTGGTCCCCATGGACTGTTTGTATCCAAAAATTCAACCAAGAAAACAGCACTTGAGGTCTCATCAATTAAAGCACCTTGTGGAATCCGTTTCCTATATTCGAATATTAGATGGGAAAATTAGTGTCTAGAAATACCCTCCCATAAAGGAGGAAGAGAAGATTTTAAAGACTTACTGATGTCTTGTTGGGCATAAAATTGAGTGTCCCAAAGGCTTATTAATAACAGTAGTAGTTATGTGTACAGGTAATGTATCATGATCCAGTATCACAGTATTGTGCTGTTTATATACATTTTTAGTTTGCATAAATTAGGTATGTGTGTGCTGCTTTTTGATTTAGGCAAGCTTTTATAAAGTTACAGTACCTAATCTGTTATTCCCACTTTTCCGTTATTTTTGTGTGTCTTTTTTAATATATAATATATATCAAGATTTTCAAAGTATCATTTAGAAGCAGATTTCCCTTATAGAAAAACTAATTTTCTGCCTTTTACCAAAAATAAACTCTTGGGGGAAGAAAAGTGGATTAATTTTTGAAATCCTTGACCTTAATGCGTTCAGTGGGTCTTAAGCATTTGTTCTTGTTGGTTGGTTGGTTTGTTTACTGCTAAATTTCTATAACAAAGCCTTGCAGAAAATCTTTTCAAACCTCTTCTCCATTCCTACTTTTGTTCTGGTACAAAAACAGAATAGCATGCCATCCATCGCCAGTAATGGTTGCACTGATAGTGCCAGCATCAGTTGCTTCTGGTGTATAGTAAGAATGCATATGGAGTAAGTTGCTTTGTCTTACACATTTCAACAGGTAATACTTGACTTGTGTGACCTAGCAGTCTATTAATTTATCCTTACACCTCATAAAAATATACATAGGTGACAGTTTAATTATTTTCAGGGATATGCTACAATTATTCCATTTATCCTTTTTTCTTAAAAGCCAATCTATAGATGTAAACACTTTTTTTTTTAAAAGGTATTTTAAATGTTTCAACAGCAGACCTAGTGCTCTTTGATTTGAGTTTCACTTGATTTAGTTACCAGATTATTTTATGAATTGGCCTTTTGTAAATGTAATTGCACCTGCAGAATACCTAGAAAAGTGATGCTGAGGTGTGATCAGCAGATAAGGGCCATCTGTTTTTAAAATATGTTGTATTCAATTTATAAAATCACTTATTTTACATAATTATTAATGTAGAATTTTAAAAATTTGGGGAGAAGCAGTCTAGCAACTTTTTAAGCTTATAATCACCTACAGTCTGAGCTGTTCCTAACTAAAACTGAATATACGTTTGTTACTAGAATCGACCACACTTTATGCTCTGCAGTAAGAGGAGCAGAAGCTTTGTGAGTAGTTCATTCTGCAGCAAGTAACTCTTAGGTCTGATGTGAAGTTATTGCTGTTTAAACATTACTTGTTTGCATCTTAGTAGAAATGAAAAATAACCACTCCTAGTCCCCTTCTAGTAAATTTTTATATTTTTAGGATTAATATCTTAAGTACTTGTTTTTTGAAATCACAGTCACCTGTTTCTACAGGTGTCATTTTCAGTACTCAGCATTTGGTTGTTTTCTGTTAAGTATTCCTCATTTTCAAATATTTGTGTGTACATGCACGTATTCTTGTAAACATGTAGTAAATTTTTACTCAATCAACAAATATTTATTCCTCACCTGTTATATGTGCCAGGAACTTACTTAGCTTTTGGGTAAAGTTGAACACTATAGCCCTTTATCAGTTTTTTTGTATGTGAAGGAAATAAATAGGGTATTACAGAGGGAAGGCTTCTCTAAGGAAGTGTTGCTTGCACCAACACTTGGTGTGAGAAAGGAGCAAATGGGCATTACTGGCAAAGAAAATGGCATGATATGCAAAGGCTCATTTTAGAGGAAACTCATTAGTTATGAATGCTTCATATGAACACCTCTACACCAGATCCAAACTTGAGGATCAGAATGGTTCTACAGTTTATCATAGTTGAACGTGGCCTTATTTTGTGATAGACTGTATCATTCTCAGTAATATTTCTTCTTCGTCAAGCCCTTACTGTAAAGTTCATCATTTGTCATACCATTTAACAACCCCTTCTTTAAATTGGCCTTGGGCAAGTTTTCACCATTGTGGTGTCTGGCTGCTTGTTTCCAGACTTCTTGCTGCTCACTAATTACTACTTCTACAGGACATCTTTTGATTTGTGTTAAGTGTCCCACTTATTACCACTGCAGATCTGCTGGAGATAACAGGGGAGTCTCTGCCCTTTGCAGGTGTTTGTTGAAACTTGGGAGCAGTTCTGGGGACAGAGAATAACTTGGAAACTGGTGGAAGGTCTTGGCAGTCTCTCTTGCATTGATATGTTAAGTGAAGCAATGCCAATCACAGCATGCCAATATGGAGCTCAGCTCCAGTTGCAATGGAATTCTGTGCCACCAGAAGCTGGGACTCAGCTCTTAGGGGCACCTGTTGTATTGAGCAGTTATATCTGTCGAGCAGTTGGCTTTATGGTGGTGACTACATTTTTGTGAATATATTTAATGATCATGGTCATGTTTGTTTTTTACTTATAAATTATTTATTTCTGGGATTGTCCAGACCATGGTTGGTCAGGAGTAACTGAAACTACAGAAAGCAAATCAGCAGATAAGGGGGGGGAACAACTATAATTAACAGAAAGGCAAAATTATCCCATGTACATTAGTTGTACAAATGTTTTTAAGCAATACCGTACCTCCCTAAAGTTTTTTTTCAAGATGTTGAACCCAAAAAGCATTTGTTTGTCTGCTTTTCTTCTTCATATTTCAGGTGGCCCCCAAATATACAGCAGTTTCTTGGGCTGTTCACAATTCAAATTTCTTAGAATATTTTAACCAAAGAGCATCTGCAATGCCCAAGTAATAATACCAACTCTCAGCTTTTTCCCCTATTTGCTTTTTAATGGGATGCTGTTTTTGCATTCTGTATTGTCTACAGTGGCCTCTTAACATGGACCCTTTCTTTTTTCCCTCCCTTTATAGAGACAGCTTTCATTCTTCATGTGAAATCTCTTCTTTGTTGAATTTTGTCTTTCTTTAAATTAGCAACATTATTTAGAACTTCTCCACAGTGCTAGTAATTTCTTCAACTCAAAAGTGAGAAAAGTTTTATTGCTTAAAAATCATTTGAAAAGTTTGTGCTGTTTAAAATTAGAGAAAACTGGATATCAGCCCACATTTTGGAATAATTGTGTTCTTTTCTCATCCCACTTTAAGGAACTTTCCTAATTAGGTTTGAACTAATTATGCTAGTTATACATTATGGTATACATTTATTCAGTAAACATTTAATGATGCCTATTCTTTACCTAGACACTGTGATAGGCATCTAATAAAAGGGTAATATGCTAATTAGACCAGACATCTTTCGGTCATCCTTCCAGACGTCTTTCTGACAAAGCCACAGTAGCAGGGGCCGAGGCCGAAGCAAGGGAGCAGTTAGGGGCAACCAGGCCAGCAGGGGACCAGTTAGAGGGTGAACAGACCAGCAAGGAGAAGCAGTTAGGGGGTGATCAGGCTGGTAAGCAGAGGCAGTTAGGGGCGATCAGGCAGGTGAGAGGTTAGAAGCCAGCAGTTCCAGATGGCGAGAGGGATGTATCTGTGGGATCAGGCCTAAACTGGAAGTCAGACATCCCTTAAGAGGTCCTGGATTGGAGAGGGTGCAGTACTGGACTGAGGGACCACTCCCCAAAACCGTGCACAAATTTTGTGCACTGGGGCTCTAATTGAGTAATAAAAAGATAACTAGGATTTGGTCCTGATCGTCAAGCTGTGTTTAGCTTAGTGTTGTGGGAGTTAGTTACTCTCTTGGGACCTGTCACTTGGCAAGAAGAAAATCTGCCTAGTTTTTCTTGAAAGCTATTCTGTATTCTTACTCTTATTCTATATTCTAAGTTTATACTTGCAAGTTGTGAATGCCTGGGGTGTTTGTGTTTTTTTTTGTTTGTTTGTTTGTTTTTGTTTGTTTTTTTAAACCTTAAACTATATCCAATTTTGCTTGATTCATTGGTCTTTTAAACATTGTCAGATTTTCTCTTTTGTTGTTAATATTATTGTAATTTCACTTGATTTGAACCTTTATTGTCAGTTTCATCAAGACTAAAACTTTGAAGATGAAATACAATCATTGCTAATTGAAATCAAACAAGAGTGTATACCCAGTTGGTTTCTCTACCTCTTCCAAAAACTGTCCAAATATGCTTTTAGGATATTTCTTGTTTTTAAAAAATAATTACTTTGAACATTCATTCAATAATAGGGACCCTCCTGGTTGATGGTGGGATATAAAGTAAACAAGACAATCTTAAAACTTGTCTCATGTGCAGTTGCTTTCATAACCAAACATTCCAGTTTCACAGTTTGCCCCACTCCATTACCACCCCCACACCACGCCCCGTATTTTTTTAGATAACTTAGTAGTCTGTGGACATAGAAACACACTATCTTTTTTTTTTTTTTAATTTTACTCTGATCTAAGGCATTGATGTCTAGACATAACAAATTATTGCCCATTTTCATTCTGCCATGAGCTTTTACTTTGCTAAATCCTTTATAGTTATCAGCTAACTTTTATTCTTGCTCCCCTTCTCTTGAGATATGTCCCTAATGGTTTTGCTGATTGCTCTGATTATTGCGAGTTATGTTTTATCAGTGTGCATCAGAATGTTTCTCTCCTTTGACTTTTACAAAAGACCAAAAAGGATGGTGCTATTCATACCCAGGGTTCTAATTTCTTTGTGAAGGTTGATGTTCAAATTGGCCCATCACTTGATGGGAGAAATTATCTAGTTTAATGTCTTTGTGACTAGCAAATAGCATGTCATCGGGTTCTATTTTAACTTATGTTTAGGTTTATGAACTTTTCTGGCAGCGCAGACCATGTTTTTCCTACAATATTGGCCCT